CAGAGGAGTACATATGTTCAGCACATGTTTTTACCTTATACATCTTTTGCTCCATTACCTATGTATTGTTCAAAATGAGTTCTGCTGCTGAATACAAACTGTCCAATTTGCTTTACTTGAAAAAAATTACAAAATAAAAAAAAAATCCACATCTTTGACGAAATGATGCCATGATTTTTTTGGAAAGAATATCCATGGACTGGGGAAAACAAATCACTGAACTTTAAAAATTATTACAACTAGTTGCCAAACCACATGCACTTTCCAGATGTTGAAACTTCATTGACCGAGTTCACCAAAAGGGTGGTAATTTCTACCTAGTGCTTGAGGATGAATGAAGCTTTTCTCCAATGAAACTGGAATAATTTTACTGTTTCTAACTGAGAATAAATAAATAATGTTTTGATATAGTTCTGATATGGGAAGGACTTAGAAATGAAGCTTGTCAGCTTTGAGAATTGTGATTGTAGGTACACTTAAATGATATATTCTGCAGGAGAACTTTTGGAAATGAGCTTTATGATCTTGAGTTGCAATGTGTTGGGGATTCATCACATGTCCTTACAACTAAATCTAAAGTTTTGCTGCAAAACTCCTGGTGTGATTCTGCTCCCTGAGCAGCCTGGAGCTGCAGGACAGGACATCCCAGAGGATTGCACCAAGGCAGATGGGACACCATTTCCAGGACTGTTAAATATTGCATAGTTTCAGGAGTAAATACTGCTTTGTCTCCTGTGTAATCACACGAGTCCCTGAAAGGCAGAGCCGTACCAGTTATGGGGTATGTGAGCTGTCTCTGCCATTAGCACTCAGAAAAGAAAACTGAGACATTGAAGATAAGCACCCACTGGCACCTTTCACTTCAAATATGTGGTCTTGCAATAGTCTCATTAGAAGCAAGATTTAAATGGGAAAGAAAATGCAAGGTAATTTATATCCTTAGGCCTCTCAGAACAATACTTTATGAGTGAAGGTGAAGCTCATATGCCAGGGTTGCTGTGGAAATGAGGTAGTTCCAAAAGTAGGTGTAATTTTTTTGCCCTTCTCAGCCCTGATAGTCTTAACCAGGACTCACAGCACAACTCTGTTTGGTAGCTGGAGAGGCCTCCTTCACTGTCCCTTTTACCTGTTTATAACTCTTGTCCACTCAAGCCCCAAAGAAAGCGAAAACAGAGGACTCTGTGGATTCTCAATCCCAGTCACATCCCATAGCCTGAACTGATAGTTCCTTGTTTCTAGGGAAAAAACCCAAGGAGACACCTCATAACTTCATGTTTTTGATCGGTGCTGCACAAACATAAAACTGGTCAGCACTTCAAGGTACACATCCTGTATGATTACATGGTTCCAAAGTTTGTGCTTTTGAAAAAAAAGATGAAGTAGCTGTGTAATTGTTTCAAAATCCATGTATTTAATATTTTTTGATGACAAAGACTTAATAGGTTTTATTTTACTTTATGTTTCACTCATGAGGCTACTATATGTATCTACTTTTTAGAGAATGTAAGAACTACTGGTTCAGAAGTCTTCCCAAGACATGCCATATTTTGAGTAAACACTCATATAGTCAGAGAAGGGGGAGTTTGCTGTCTTTTTTTTTTTTTTACTTTGTAGATTTTTTGAGTTCTTAATGAGTGCTGAAAATCCCTAACTCACAAGACTGTTGTGAGGATTAATTAGGGAATGTTTGTAAGATGCTCTGAAGATGAAAGGTGTGATGTAAATGCTAATTATTTATTATTACTATCTTCCTAGTCTTGGACAGATTCGGTTGATGTGGAAGTGAGCGATTGATCTTGCTAAACAGAGGCATGCACAGTGGAGAAGGGCCTTTGCAAGATTCACACTAATAATTCTTCCTATGAACTTCTGCTCTGTCTGAATCTCTCCATCTATCCCAACCCATTGCCTCTACATTGCTTTGGCAGTGCCCTTCAGACTAAATTGCTGCTCTACTGCAAGATCTGGGCCTGATCCAAAAATTCATGAAATCAGAGAAGATTTTTCCATCACTTTCAGGGAATTTGGCAAAAGGTCAAAAATAGTCTTTTATGCAGCATTTTGGAAAATAACTAAATGACAAAAGCCTCTTTCCCGAAAACTGCCCATACTTGCTCTCTGCATGATTAGCTTGATACATACTGTCAGGTTTTGTCAGTAGTGTCAGATCATATTCATATCATCCAGTTTCCTTTGTGCACAATAATGTGATTCTTTACAGGTCTGTTCAGCTGTGAATCTGTAGCTGTTTACTGCATTAAATGATGTGCTACTTTAGTATCAGTATATTATATCACACAGGGCAAGGCATTTTGGTGTTCAGGGCATGAGAGCTCTTTGGCTCCCACTCCAAGAACACACCAAAAAGTCATCTTTGTGAGGTGGTCTCAGCTGCCACTGCCTTCACAATTCAGCAGAAGTTGTAAGCTACAGCCAGGTACCTCTTACATGCTTATCTTTGCCAGTTGTACCTCAGAAATGTCTTTGTACAGGAAGATGCTCCCTTCAGCCCTCTCATTGTAAGGAGGCAATGTTGGTAGTCCCACACATAATGACCATAAAACCAGAGGTTTGCTTAGAATTGAGCTCTCTTTGCCTTTGCACACCATTCCAGCATAGAAAAAGGTATTAGCACCTTACATCTAATTGAGAATATAATTGCTTAAAGAGAGTCACTGGGTATATGACAACATTTGTCAGATACAGCAGAATAGCAAACTATTAAGGAAGAGGAAACACGTAGCAGCTTTTTACTTGCAAGTACCAGTTTACATCTGTATGTGCTGTCTGTGTGCTGCAAACAAGAGCCAAGCAGGAGGTAACAGATCCAGGTAGGCAGCAGTAAAGCTAGAACTGCTCAGACTGGAATAGAACCTGTGTTGTCTTTGGCAATAGCAGTTATCCAAGAACTGTGATATATTATTTATCTCTTGGTGTTTTAAAAGGCAGTTCAGATACTCTGTGTGTTCATTCAAATGAAAAGGTGCATCCCAGGCATTCCTATAGCTGATGTGAAATGAGGATTCAGGCTCCTTTCACCATCAAAGCATCCAGGAGCGCACACAGTGAAGTGCCATGCATTGGGTCCATTCATTACTTGTAATGTCTATCAAGCAGAAGCAACAGGAGCAGGACCCAGCTCAATAAATACCAGTCCTCATAGACTGTCACAACAGGTCATGCTACTAAAAACTAAGGTAAAAGAAATCCTTTCTGTGGCACTTTGTGAATTGGCTCAGCTAGGAACCAAAGTTGCTCTCCTCTCCTCCCAGTTTGGCACTGGTTACCTAGCTCTGTTGTGTAAGAGAGTAGCACCATGATCTACAAAACCAAAATAAACCAACAGAGAAACTGTTCTGCACCTACAGGTATGGCATATCACATCCATCTAGAGCTGTGCTGGTGCTCTGGGAAGCAAAGAACATGTAGACCCAGAGCAGTACCCAAAGAAAATTTGCTCACTTGTTGATGACTCCCAAATGTCACAGTTTTATTCTCAGACTGTGGAGTGTTCACACCTAAAACTCAGGCAGCAAGAATGCTGTGTCCACTTCTCACAAGAGAAAAATTAGCGGGAGCTCTCACAAGAGAAGAATTTTCATTTACAGGTTTTGTTGGCCTCTTAGTATATCTGTTGTGGCCTATGGAACTTCTTCATCATCAGACCAGGAAGTAATGTAATTACTTGCAGTTAGTTTTGCGTAGTTTATTTGCTTTTGATGCTTCTGTCACTATAGATGTATAAGTAGATCACATTAACCAACTGAGATGTTTTAAAATAATGAGTAATGAATATGTTGGTAATGTTGATGCTGCACTTAAGAAAGTTAATGTGTTTCTTGAAATCTCTCATCTATCTCAAAGAAAGCTTAAGTGCTGAAATGGTAGAAGACACTTAAAGCGCCTCTGTGTCTCCACAGATCTGGCCCTTAATTTATAAGCATTTTGCACAGTAAAATAGGATTAGCCTCCTTAGGAGTTTCCTTTAGTTTAGTACTGCTCTACAATTCAGCGCCCTCTAAGAACAGGTACAAAAGAGCTACTCACAGGGTCTCCAAATTCTCAGTGGCCATTGTCACTGGTTGGTTGCCCTTGCTGTATATTAGGTTTTAAATGCAGCATTTTTTTCATCGGATCAGAAAGATTGCTGTCTGCTGTTAATAGAAATGCCAATGGTGGTGTTAGACAAGGTTGTCCTCAAGCTATAAGCATTACCTGTCACAACACTATTTTCAGTTTAAAGATATGACAGCTGAAGAAAAAAAGACTGCAAGGACTAAATAGTTTGTCCTCAGTGCTCTTTAACCTAATTAATATATTATTCTGAAGAGCTGAGGAGCCACATGAATTTCAAAGCTTGAACTTCTGTGTACTCAATGTTGAATTACTCCTAATCTGGAAATGATTAATTATTGATGACAGGATAAGTATAGCGTGATAGACCAAACTAGCCCTTCAGACCACAAAAATAATCCTTTTCTAATCTAGCAACAGTTCTTCAATAAAATAAAAGTACTTTCTGATGACTTAGTCAATACAATTACTGAAATAATTAGAAGCCCCAGTAAAGATATTACAAGATGCTTTACAGGAAAGCTATAATACGCCAGAAGAAATATTGTGTTGCAGATTAAAAACCACTTTCAATCTATGCACATGGACATGCTGTGCAGGGGAGAGGCTCTGTGTGGGAGGAATGTGGAGAAATGGAACAACAAAAGCTCAAAGGGGCATATGCAAAAAAGGACTGTTCACACTTCTGTGTAAGAATGCAACTCAGAGCCTGCAAAACAGTCTCTAAATCTTCATCAGAACATCTGGGCTAGAGATGGGCGGACACAGCTACTTAAATCAGTTCTGCATTTACTAATTTATTGCTACCTGCAACAGGTTTATTGCATATTACTTTTCCCAGAAGGTAAATTAGAAAGGCAAAGCACATAGGAGATGGCAACTGTATGTGAAGAAGTGTCAGTATATTTTATTGCATCACTGGCAAATCTTCTGGTGAATCCAATTTGTGTTTATTCAGGTTGTGTCATACGTGGGTTTGAATGATGGATAGATTCTCCCACAGGGTCCTACAGGAAACAAACAAAATACTCCAGTAAGTATGGAACTGAATTTTACAGGGATTAAATGACTAAAAGGGAACAAGATGCAATTTCCCATCTGATTATATACTACAGAATTAACTCATCAAAACTGTATTTTTCTCCAGTTTCTGGCTGGCTTTATCCCATGTACTGTAGATAAGCACTGCAATACAGGGCAAATGAAGATACAAAGAGATACAGGCAATGAGTTTCCATCTTTCATATGTATTAACATACACTTGAAGGAAAAATGTAAAGGTTGTGATAATAACTGGAAAAAAGTCCAAAGACTGTATAGCCCTTCAAATTGGACTGTTAGCTATGAGTTTATATGTTTATTCCAGCACTATTATTAATAGGCAGCACTCTTCCAAAAGATCCTGCCCTGTCCAGCCTCCCTGGTATCCAAAGTAAAAGCATTTCCTGAGGAAGCAGATAGATTTCATGAAATAATATTAATCTCATGTTTTCTTCTGACTGCTTTGTGTCATATGATTTTACCTTTCATATCTGCTTCTATTCTGTAACCATGTGACTTATCAATGGCTGTTCAATTCTGTGTTTTAAGATGAGAGTCAGCTATATACCACAGAGAAGTTTTCTCATACAAACAGAAGATTAAAATGAAATGCAGAATAGAGAAAATATCAGTTTGATCCAAGAACATTCCTTTAGTCAGCTTTTCACTCTGAGCTGTATTCAGAAAGGAACTCACAGCTGATAACAACCACCCAAAAAGTAATAATTTTATTTTTGACTTTAACTATTGTGTTCCCAGAAACATTCACAAGTTTTTCTTGCAGTCATCACAGAAATAACCCCTGGGTAAGTTCCCATATAGCAAGTTATGTCCAACAATGATTTTGATGGAAGTCCCTCTGGGGGTCAGTTGAAAAAAGTATGTTTAGTTGATTCTTTTCCCACACGGATCTATTTTAGGCCAAAGCATAATTTAAAATTTTCTTGATAAATTTTTTCTTTACAAGATTCACCTTCTAGACTAATGTTAACATTTTTTGTTTATATGTTTTGATTGAAGAAATTTAAAGTATCTGATCTGTTTCTGTTTCTGCTGATGGAAGCAAGGAAAGTCTCATTCATGTGAACTAAACATGGTTATATATTGATGTTAAACATACTATTTTAATTTTGTCAAGAGTACATTATGGATTTATGTTACGGATAAATTTAAACTGTTTGTTTAGCTACCAACTGGCTTCAATGTTTGCTTACATTTGTGTTTAACAGTAACAGTCACTCTGTGGCTTTTGCCAAAATCTCCTCCCCTTCTCTGTGCTTTGGCAGTGCCTAGAATTGAAATTATGTATTGTGTAATTATTTTTTCACCAAAAACCTACTGTAAAAACAATTTTAATGAAATTTCACACACAGCAAGAAATATTAAGAACAAAGCCATTGTTTGTGTCTGCCACTAACATCAGTATGGCTTTTGTAATAACCATTAACAACAGTATTTTTTAAGAAGTGTGACCCTAAAACTTATGAAAAAACTGAAAATCTGATTCTGGTGATCTGAAGCCATTAAATGTAGATGTTTTTATTCAGAAAAATTTCAAATAAATCCAACAGTCTCTTCCCAGGCCAAAGAAGGAGAGAGCACAAATTTCAGCACAAGTGCACAACAAATCTTAAAGGGAAGTATCTGGAAACTGCATCTGCAGGTGCTTTGGGAGAAGCCAAAGTAAGTGGTATCCTTCTCATTGCTAATAAAATGATGCTAATTAAATTATGTTATTTATAAACCCAGTCACACAGAGGATTTTAGTACCATATTTCTTGAAGTATCTCCCTTTATATTTTCATGAACTTTATTTCCTTATTTTCACCCTGTCAAATCCCTTTTAAATATGTCTGCCTATCCCTTTACTGAGGTAAACTTTGTGGCAGCCAGTGTGCTTGACCAATTTGCACCAAAGTTAACGCTTCTATTTGCACTTATAAGAAAGTTCTAGGACTACGGGACTTCAGAAGAGGGTTTTTTCCCAGGCATTCGCAATAATGTTAACAATTTATAAACCTTCTGAGGTTTTGTGGCAGTCAGATCTTGCTATGATTTTAAACACTTTTGTTGTTTTTGTCGCTATCGAAAAAAAAGTTTAAGAAAAATCATAGGAGGCATCATTATAAAAAAGGGAAAAGCTGAAACAAAGTAAAGACCAAGTACTGTCAAATGATAATGCAGAGAAAAAGTTTCTCTCTAATAATTGTCATATGAACTTAGGCTTGGGAAAATGGAAGACAAAACCAAAATAAACAGAAAAAAAATATTGGTTTAGTTGGTAAAAAATTATAATAATTAATGCAAGTTTTTACCTTTTGCTCTTTTGTTAGTATAAGGCCAACATGCCAAGAACATCAACAGGGAACTGTCTCTTGACATTAATAGTGAGATCATATCTTTTTCATGTAAAAATACTTCACACTTGATTTTGTGATTTACCAGATGGAAGAATGCACGCTGATATTTGAAATAACTCTATAATGTCACTATTGTTTTCATGATATCACAAAGCTCGCTCAGATATATCACCTGAGATGCAGTTCTACCAAAGAGCAGCGTAGTTCTGTATGTCACCGAACAGTGCAGACACATCCATGCCATGTGTCAGAATCCTGTCCCCATGTGACTATGTATGAGTTCTATAAAAGAGAAACTCTACAGTTTGTTATGGTATATTAAAAATATGAATGATATGAAGAGGAGTTCTTAAAATAAGCTACCTACTTTCTGAAGGCATAGAGTACTCAATATGACTATTGATAATATATGCAAGCTATGAGTAAAGCAATGTAAATTCTATTCAGCTACCTTTTTTTTTTAACTTAACACTTAATTGCATTTTCTTTTTCATTAAAATGCATATCTTTATCATACAAAGCATTAATTAAATCACTATGTATTTCAGAAGTTTCCAGACTTCATTAACAGGTCAAGCTTTGGTTACATATCCTGTTATGAGTTCCTGTTCCCCTGAGTTTAGAGATCACAACAGGTCACTCCATTCAACCATAGCCTCTCATGCAATAATGAACAGTGTTGCTATTTTCAGTGGATTCTCCCATTTCTCTGTAAGCTGACTGGAGATGAAGTTGGCTTATAAAATGATTACATGTTAAAGATGTGAAATAATTAAATGGCAGTGCATACTTTCTGGAAATATCCTCTTCTGATAAATTTAAGTACATTACTTTTAGGCAGATAGCCAGTATAATTTTTAAAAGCAAATTCTACTTCAAAAATAATCTGTGACAAAGGGTATTAGAATGACCTTGCAAACAATCAGTACAGTGACAGTAAAGTTGTATCTGTAATATCAGGAGGAGTAAATCTTACCCATTTCTAAAAATAGGCAGGATACTTTTAAACTAATTAATTTTAACACCTTTTAATCTGCTTTCAGGCTTTCAGGCAAACAGCCAAGAGAGTCAAAAGGCAGCCTTTCATGTATCAGTTATAAATCATGGCTTATTTTCACACAAAAAGATTCATCCGAAGGTGGAATTTAAAATCAGTTGTGTTACCTTAAATCCCAATGTGTGAATACTCTCATTCAGAATAAGTGATTTTAAACAGAGTAGAAAGGGATTTATGTAGTTTACATAGTTGTGTTACTCGGGTTTTATCTTTCCAAATGTTCCTGTGTAAACATTTAGTCTTGGACTGTGTAGGGTCTGAAATAGCTTGGCACAGGCCTCAAAATGATGGTGTTAGAGAGCTGGGAGTTGTTTGGAACTGTGCCTATTTCTTGACTAGTCTTTCTGGATCTGTGTGATTTCTACTGGTTTTTAGGACACTTTTCACTCCCAAATTTAATTTCATGCTGTTTATTGTACACTATCTCTCTGTAATAAATGTGTGACAGGGCCCATGTTGGCTTTGCTTTGAAAGGAAATGCAAGGAATAATGTGTTTCATGATGCCAAAATATACTTCTACATCCTGGCTTTTAAGATTTTAATAGGAATGGGATTTTGACAAAAGTTTAGTGATTAAATAAGGGCAGATATAAACCTCCTATCACAGCCTTTATGTAAATCACCAGGTAAAGCTTGTGTGGAGATGCCATCTATTTATTTCTAGCAGATAAGGTGCATACGCTCCCCAACCCTGAACTTCAGAGCTGACATAGGGAGGAGACCTCAAGGAGAGGGTAGCTACAGTCAGTTAACAAAGTACCAACTGGTAAAATTGTCTTTTAAAAAGTAATTGACTATGACATTAGACAGCAAGTAACCTCTTCAGGTTTCTGGATGTCAGATAGACAAACGGGGGTTATTTTGCAAGAGATAATTCAACACAGTGTTCAGCTAAGTCTAAATAACTGCACTGAGACAATAAAATCACAGCAAATATGCATTTTCTGTATTAAATTGTAAGATATTAAAGAGTTTAGCTGTGGAAGTGGTGCCCACAGCATCCATTTGTCCCTGATGATTATGTGATACAAGTTAAGAACAAGGGAAAAAACAGGGTTTATGCTAAAATGAGGGAAACTCAGCCACAGCACATTTATCTTCCTGTAGCACTGACACCCCTTATTGTACTGTGAAGATTAGAAAGCAGTTCCTCAAGAGTCACATTTAAACAGCCACATATCAGTTTCTGTTTATTTTTGTGGAGGTTGCAAGGCAAATAAGCATGGAACTCTGGGAAAAGTCCTCAGGGAGCCCCTTCTGTGGAAAAATGCTACCTGGTCATAGCTGGGAAACTGAGAGTTTCCCTCAGTAAAAAGAATTAGCTGCTGGAAAAAAACATTCCTTTCAGCAATCTGGAGGGACTTTTCTCTTTCTCAGAGTCTCCAAATCTTACACGAGTACCCCAAGAGCGGTGTACATTTCTGTTTCAGGTGTGAGCTTGAGCTATCCTGGTTTTCTGGGCTCAAATACTGTCAGCCCAAGCATTGTGCTGCAGTCCTTCAGCCTGAACTGTCTTGAAATCAATTTGAATTGCACCTAAACAACTTT